TTCCCAGAGCATCTGTGGCTGCCCCTGGATCCCTGGAAGTGTCCAAGGCCAGGATGGAGCAACCTGGGATATCAAAGGATGCTCCTGTTGGACCAGATGACCTTTAGAGGTCCTTTCCCAGCCGAGCCATTCCATGATTCCATGAGTGTGTCCAGCTGTGCAGAGGGGAGGCAGGGAAGGCGGGGGGAGCTCCCGGAGCTTATCTGTGTCCTTCACTCCGGAGCTGTTTTGAATTCCAGGCAGTGAGAATCCTTGGAGCTTTCTCCTCCTCCTGCGTGGGAAGCGGGGCCTGATGGGCTGCGAGTCCTGCAAAGCAGATCCCAAAATCCTGCTGACCAGGATTCCCTCCTGCCTGGAATTGTCGCTCCACGCCGTGCTGGCAACCGGCAGCCAGGGATCATCCCAGGGAACATCCCTGCCCGGATCCCGGGATTTTAAACCTCCCGGGCTCGAACCTGCAGCGCTCAGAGCCTGGTCTAGACTTGCAGTGGGAATAAAGCAGCATCCCAGTGCCCCCACTCCTATAAAAACCTCCCCTGGGAATGCTGGCAGCCGGGATCCAGCCCCACAAAGGAGCCCTTTCTCCCGGCTCCCCTTTCCCTCCTGCTCCCAGAAAACCCTTCTGGTTGCCAAGGGGACGTTTTTGGGGAATACAATGTGCCTTGGAGAAGATCCCAGCTCCGTCCTGGCTGATTAGGGAAGGGCTGGATGGGATTCTCTCCCTGGCCCGGGCTCGGTGTCACTTTGGATTTACACCATCATTTCTTTTGGGATGGGTTTTTTTTCTCCTTTATCCTTCTTTTCTTTTGGCATTTATTAAACACGGGAAAATCGAATTATGGGGTTGTTTTTTTCTCAACTCAATTTGCTGCCCAGGCTGTGGCAGCTGAAGCAGTTCCTGGCTCCATGTCTTTGCCATGGAAAAGGGAGTGGAGCCATGGAAAATGCAGCAGGGAAAGGGGAGCCTCGGGCACGGGGAAGATGCTGTGGAATCCTGTGGGAATGAGGGAAGAGGGGATAAAAAAGAGCTTTCCATTCTCATCCTGCACGACAGAGGCTAATTGATGGCATTGAAGAATTCCAGGATCAGGCATGTTATTTAGGGAGACAGGATTTATTTATGGAGAGAGGAGAGGGGTGAGGGCTGTGCTGTGTTTTCCCCTGTGGAGTCTGGAATTCCGGGCGGAGGAAGGAGGGAGGACACCGGGGGTCGTGGCTGGCTGTGTCATCTCACAGGGCATCCCAAATCCTGGAGCAATCCTTTGGGAAATCCACAGCCCGCGTGAGCAACAGCTCTTGGAGCTGAAATAACCCCGGGAAGAGCATCTGGGAGTTACAGGGATATGGAATTGAAAGCTGGAAAGGGACTTTGGACAAGGCGTGGAGGGACAGGACACAGGGAATGGCTTCCCAGTGCCAGAGGGCAGGGAAAGATGGAATATGGGGAAGGAAGGGGAGGGGCTGGAATGGATCTCCCAGAGAAGCTGTGGCTGCCCCTGGATCCCTGGAAGTGTCCAAGGCCAGGCTGGAGCAACCTGGGATAGTGGAAGGTGTCCCTGGGGTTGGAACTGGATGGGATTTGAGGTCCCTTCCCACCCAAACCATCCTGGCATTCCATGAAGGTGCCTGGTAGCACCTCTCTGGCCCGTTCCTGTGGGATAACAGCAGTGTTCCTGCTGTGCCAGGGGAATTCCTGCCTCGTGGATCCAACCTGCACTTCCACAGGCACCTAACCCCGACTTTCCATCCGCTCCAAGCTCCACAGGATCTTGGAGCAGCTCCTGGTATCCTCAGATTTGACCATGACAGGGCAGATCCATGCCCTCCCAGGTCAGGGATCATCAGAGCTGATCCCGAATTCCCTGTTTCCCTGCAGGAAGGACACGGACACACCATCCTGACGCTGCTGTCCCTCGGCGCCGATCTCCAGGCTCAGGACGGGAAGAGCCGTTCCGGTAAGGAAGGAGCTGCTCCTTCCCCCTCTGCGTGACCCCCAGAGCTTCCATAAGTGCATTCCAACCTCCAGGTCACCCTGGAGCACGCAGGGAGATCCCAAATCCATGGATACCAAAGGCTCTGGGAGCAGCGTGACGTAAAAACAGGGGTTTTGGTTTGGTTTTTTTTTCCCGGTTTTCATTCGTTAATTTTCTCCTTGCTGGAATTTCTGGTGCTTCTGGCTCGGGGGCTTTTCCCTTGGGGAAGAGCAGAGATGTTCCCTGGGGGAAGAACAGAGATGCAAACCAGGGCTTTCTCTTTATCCACCTCCTTAATTTTTTCCACGAGACTTTTCCAGAGCTTCGATTCTCCGCCTCCCTGGAATTTGGCTGGAACGAGCCCGCCTGGAGCGGGTTGGGTGGACGAATCCAGGGATTTCCACGAGCTCTCCAGCCTCGATTTCCCAGCAAACAGCCCAGAAATGGGCTCATGAGCAAATAATAACACGGGGCTGGGACGTAAATAGAGTTGCCATAGCGATGCCGGAGTCGGCATTCCCGGCGGGAGAGGCTCCGGCAGCTCCTGCAGCAGCATCCCTGTCTCGGGAACAAAACCCACAGAAATGGTTCCAGCCAAAATTGCCAAAAATTGGCAGCTTTTAACCAGTCCTCAGGTTTGGTTAAAAACACCTGGGGGCATCTCTCCATCCATCCCCTCCGGGAGGGAATCCCGGCTCTGCTGAGCTCATCCAGCCCTGGGATGTTTTCCATGGCTCCTCCTGCCTGTTGGATGCTGTGTCAGTGTCCCTGTGTCCTTGGGAAGCTCCTCATCCCCATTTGGCACCTGCATGGATTATCCATGGGGATCAGGATGCACATTAGATCAAAGGAAGACAGCTTTTCCAATGAGGGTGGTGAAACACAGGGATTCCCATCCCTGAGAACATCCAAGGGCAAGTTCATGGAGTAAATCCCGGCTCTGTTGAGCTCATCCAGCCCTGGGAGGTTTTCCGTGGCTCCTCCTGCCTGTTGGATGCTGTGTCAGTGTCCCTGTGTCCTTGGGAAGCTCCTCATCCCAATTTGGCAATGCCTGGATTATCCATGGGGATCAGGATGCACATTAGATCAAAGGAAGACAGGCTTTACAAGGAAGGTGGTGAAAGACAGGGATTCCCATCCCTGAGAACATCCAAGGGCAAGTTCAGGGAGTAAATCCTGGCTCTGCTGAGCTCATCCAGCCCTGGGATGTTTTCTGTGGCTGTGTCAGTGTCCCTGTGTCCTTGGGAAGCTCCTCATCCCGATTTGGCACCTGCCTGGATTATCCATGGGGATCAGGATGCACATTAGATTAAAGGAAGACAGCTTTTCCAATGAGGGGGGTGAAAGACAGGGATTCCCATCCCTGGGAACATCCCAGGGCAGGTTGGACGGGGCTTGGGAGCAACCTGGGACAGCGGAGGGTGTTGGGGTTGGAACTGGATGACCCTTGAGGTCCCTTCCGAGCCGAGCCATTCCCTGATTCCATGACCCCATCCCACATTCCCAGCCCTGCACGCGGCCGTGGCCGGGCAGCAGGCGGAGGCCACGCGGATCCTGCTCCGTGCCGGGCTCCGGGACGCTCCGGATGGCTCGGGAACGCTGGCCCAGCAGCTCGCCAGGAAGCCGGAGGTCATCCAGGTGTTCCAGGAATCCCAGGTCACCACGTGAGACACGAGGAACGGGAGGAGCCCGGTGGATTTTCGGCCGGCGCGGTACGTCGGTGGTCGTGGAACAGCGTTCGGATTTAGGGAAATATCGGTTTAAAATGGTGGGATTCTCACCCAAAATTGAGGGGAGGAGCCAAGCTTGGCACTTGGGAATGTAATAAATGTAATATTAAATGGGATTATCTCAAAAAGATCACGGGTGTGATGGCTCTGGGCTCTTCCCCGGGAGGG